GAAGAAGAATAATAGTCATCTATTCGTTGGCGCTCGAGTTTTGAGTCTTATTTGAAGTCTACCAATAATACCAAAATTCTGATATTTCAAGCCAGTCTATGTCTACATAAAGTTATGTATATAACAATCATATAAAGAAGCTCCTATCTAGATTGCTTGTGGCTTAGAGGTTAGCGTAACGGACTATGAATTTGAAGGTTCATGGTTCGAGTTCTGTTGTCGCAAAAACTGTTAAATCTCACTATTTGATTAAAGTAATCCAAGAGTTGGCGGTGGCTACTGTTGACTAGCTGCCCCTTTTCTCGTCTATCAGTTTAAAATCAGGGCCTGCTAGCACAGATAAACTTTGTTAAGCTTTCCGTGAATTTACTATACAAACATGTATGCATGTAAATCTGTAAAACGTAAATGGCTAAAATGATATACTCCAGTTCAAGTTATTTCCACAACGCAGCAATGTCAACTGGTACGAATTATTAAGTAAAAGGTCCATAATCAAGGTAGCTGGTTAAAATTCACATTGTCTTACAGTTTACTTTAATTGTTCGTCTTTTTATGGCATTTGTATTACTATGTTGATTGTTACTGTTTGCTGGATAACAATGTTTACATGCACAACCTCAGTGTTGATTGATTGATTGTTATTGTTTGCTGGATAACAATGTTTACAAGCACAATCTTAGTGAATAATTGTCACTATTTGCTCAATGAAAATATTTACATGCACAACCTTAGTGTTGATTGACAATTGCCGTTTGCTGGATAACAATGTACACATGAATAAAATCAGAGAAAATAAAAATTTTAACTAATAGCTAAGTTAAGCAACTCGGAGAAAATAAAAATTTTAACTAATAGCTAAGTTAAGCAACTCGGAGAAAATAAAAAATTTTAACTAATAGCTAAGTTAACCAACTCCGAGAAAATAAAAAGTTTAACTAATAGCTAAGTTAACCAACTCGGAGAAAATAAAAAGTTTAACTAATAGCTAAGTTAAGCAACTCATAGAAAATAAAAAGTTTAACTGATAGCTAAGTTAATCTTTTATCTTACCCTACTTACTCAAATTGTTGGTCCTGTATAGACTGACCACTACATGAAATTCCATAATATGTATTAACGAACTTCTATCTATTAGAAATACATTAAACAGTTATTCAGAAAACCTAAATGGAACATAAAAAATAAATAATTGCAGTTAAATGTACAAATGATGAATAAAAACATTTGAACTAACTATGTGCTGAATATTAAAACTTGTTATTGTACGGTAAGATATACCTTTGTCAATCTATCTAAAAAAGTACCAGTTTATTATTTTAGGGAAGATCCCGAAAACTGTAGACCTATTATGAGTATGATTTCTGTTGTTAACAGGGAGATGGATTCTGTTGTCAAAAGCCATTTAGAAAAGTCTTTGGAAAGCTGACATTTAATAAATGATTCCAAGCAGGGTTTTAGAAAAGGATTATCTTATCAATTTGCTGCAGTTTCTTTTCATAGGTCCTC